AGTCTCCATTGGAGGGTCTGACCTTGGGTGTAGAAGGCCGCACCAATTAACCACTGTTCACCATTTTACGATATTTCAAGTCAAACATGAGCATGAAGCAAATAACAAGATCAGTATACCACAAGATGATGCCACTGGTCGACTAAGGCCCTCATACATCTGTGATCAACAGAAATTGCAAAGTGTGTAGCCACACACTCGAGCGCTCCTTCCAAGACTTAGAAAAATATCACCTTCTAGGGACAGGTCTTTATTATTGGTGGCAAGATACCTGATATATTAAGAATATATCCAAGTTTGTGCACCTAGGTGTCCTAGCACAATAAATCAACGCCATCGTCAAGACCTGACACACATCAAGTATTGAAAATTGTTTGTAACATTCAGTCCCACAACAACCTGACCAAAGGGGTCTGACAAAGACCCTTTATACCCTCTGCTCTGTAATCCCCTGATAATCGATCAAAATAGTATGAGAAGTACTGTATTGTATACAAGCCGCTGCTCACGGCAAAAAAGTGAAAAGAATCTTACCAATTCAATTCTCCCCTAATCCATATCTCCCCTTGTCACCTCTTCCCTACCCCTCTCCCTCAACTCCTCTCCCCATCCCATCTCCTCCATTCACTTCTCCCCCAATTCCGTTTCCAGTATTTACCTCTTTCCAATTCCCTCTCGCCCATTCACCTCTCCAAAATAAACCCCTTTCACTCCTCTCTCCCCAGTCACCTCTCCCCACTCAACTAATCCCTACTTACCTCTTCCCACTCACCTCTTTCCTACACATGGCCTCCCATTCACTACTCCCCCACTCACCCCTCCTCGATCACCCCTCCCCCCGCCCCCTCTCAACCCAGTGACGAGGATGTGCTCATATAGTCACAGTGACGATGCACTTTTGGAAGGGAGGAGGGTATGGCAAGTTTTCATGTTGGGGAGAGAGAATAAGCAGGGGAGGAGATGAGGGAGTAATATAGAGGAATGTAAGAGGACAGATTTAAAGAGAGGGAGGGGTTGAGAGAAGGGAGAGAATGAAAGGTAGAAAGAGAGTGGTGACGAAGGAGACCAAAATATTTAAAGAGCAATAATAAGGGTGCTGTTACATAAGGCACTTTTGCTCATCTAGAAAACACCTGTGCCACGTGTCTTGGGTTCACGATGATATTCACTACGTTGACAACGAGTAGTGTTTGTGTGCTGTGATTATTGTGATATATCTCTGTCTGTACATTGTATTTGCACGTATACAATTGTTTCATAATTAGTAAAACAATAATAGTTAAGTAAATATCAGGGAAACTAATAATCTAACAGTAATTAGCCAACAGTGACCAGAGTTTGGGTATATGGGTTGCGATAGCGGAAGCATGAATCGAGAATAAAGTTAGGAAACTCTGTTAAGTGTGTTGGAGTCAGGAGAAAAATATTTCAGCTGATAAGACCGCCAGTCAAGATAAGTGTTTCTAGGGAAAATGGTGCGTTTTAAATAAGTTTGTCAACCCCAGAAACACTTATCTTGACTGACGGTCTTATCAGCTGAAATATTTTTCTCGTGACCAAATACACTCAGCCCTGTTGATACTTGAGTAAAGATACGTGATCATGCTGATGTCAGAAAAGAGTAAGATAATGTTTGTCCTCTCTACCCTTATTTTATTATCAGCGTTATCAAAACAAATTAATAATTTTTCATCATTAAGAACAACATATGCGTCTTCATGGGGATGAGTGGATGTAAATTACTCACTCCGACACTTCCTTATCCCCACCTAGTTGAAAATTCTTGTACGCACTTGACTGTTCACTGACCGTGTCTATAGATAACAAGTGGGCGGGGAGTTTGGCAACTCTGGGTGAGCTCAAAGCACTGAACCAGCTATATTAAGGGACTCCAGAGAGCAATTCTTCCATAACAATAGCGCTGTGGAACACTTCAGGCCAGGCTTTCAGAATTCCAGCTACGAAGTTACAGTACCATAGCTCACTTTCACAGCATCCCAGTTCGCGATTAGCTTACAGGTTACAGCCGCAGTTACAGCACAAAGGCCCTTGGCTACAAAACCCCAGCTTAGTGCCACTCAGTTGAAGTACAACGGAAAAATACAAAAAAAGGGTAAACAAAACTCATCCCCTAAAATCATCGACAGCTTTATTCACGCCAACACACTTCAGTCAAAAGTGAGTACCTCTTACAATTTTCTCTTTCAACTAATCGAGGCTCGTTTTGTATAACTAGTTCAATAATTTTTCTTATAATAATTTTTAAAGCAAACTGATGATTCACTATTAGTGTATATAGAAATTTTTAGAAAGATATTATGTTAATATTGACTAAACTATAAATATGAACATTTAGGAATGTATACGTTGACACTTAATATACTCCTGAGTCTGACAGTGAGTGTATATATATATATATATATATATATATATATAATTAACGACCTCACCAGCAAGGAATCGATTCCTTGCTGGTGAGGTCGTTAATTGTATGTTCAAAGTCCGCGTTTTATATGGACTAAAAATGAAGTATATATATATATATATATATATATATATATATATATATATATATATATATATATATATATATATATATATATATATATATATATATAACAAAGAAGTATGTCTGTGTGTTTGTTTGTTTGTGTGTGAGTCCGCACGAAAATCTCGAAAAGTACTTTACCGATCTGTAGATGGATGGTGTTATATGTAGTGATGATGATGGATGTGTTATATGTAATGACGATGGATGATGTTATATGTAGTGATGATGGATGTCGTTATATGTAATATGTAGTGATGATGGATGGTGTTATATGTAGTGATGATGGGTGGTGTTATACGTAGTAATGATGGATGCTGTTATATGTAGTGATGATGGATGGTGTTATATGTAGTGATGATGGATGGTATTATATGTAATGATGATGGATGATGTTATATGTAGTGATGATGGGTGTTGTTATATGCAGTGATGATGGGTGGTGTTATATGTAGTGATGATGAATGGTGTTATATGTAGTGATGATGGATGGTGTTATATGTAGAAATGATGGATGGTGTTATATGTAGTGATGATGGATGGTGTTATATGTAGTGATGATGGATGGTGTTATATGTAGTGATGATGGATGGTGTTATATGTATTGATGATGGATGATGTTATATGTAGTGATGATGGATGGTGTTATATGTAGTGATGATGGGTGGTGTTATATGTAGTGATGATGGATGGTGTTATATGTAGTGATGATGGATGGTGTTTTATGTAGTGATGATGGATGTCGTTATATGTAGTGATGATGAATGGTGTTATATGTAGTGATGATGGATGGTGTTATATGTAGTGATGATGAATGGTGTTATATGTAGTGATGATGGATGGTGTTATATGTTGTGATGATGGATGGTTTTATATGTAGTGATGATGGGTGGTGTTATATGTAGTGATGATGGATGTTGTTATATGTAGAGATGTTGGGTGGTGTTATATGTAGTGATGATGGATGGTGTTATATGTAGTAATGATGGATGATGTTATATATAGAATTTGAAAAGTATCCCTCTGTTGTCATTGGCAACATGGATAAGAAATGTAAATACTGCGATCTGCGGACGACCCTTGTCACCCCCCTGATTCCTAAGGAGTCAAAAAACTTCCTTAGGACAAAGAAGTTTAGTTCCTCTCGCGAAGGGCATGTGACTGGGTACAGTCTTACGACCTTCGCCTGGTCACAGGTCAGCATCGTCAGGTTCACGTAGTACCTCGGAAGCAGAGAAGATCTTGCTTCGCCGAGGTGCAGTTCTCAGTGTGAAATTTGAACCGTGATAAGAGGTGAAGTGAGTTTCATGTATCGCTAGACTGGTTTCATGACAAAACAAAAGTAAGTATCACTGGTTCAAGTGGATATAAGAGTGTGAGTACATTTTCACTTGCAGTTTATATCCAATAATGAACTTATATTCGTTTTTATTTTTAGGTGATGGTACTAGGCTAAGAAGCCCCCTTGTAGCTCATACATAGTATCTGATTAATAATGATATATTGCAAATAAATCAATATGTAACTGTTAAGGATTCCCAGTTCTGGTTCATTTTAATGCCGAAAATATTAATTTCAAGATATGAGAGGGAAAACAGTTTGAAATAAAGAATAAGCTATTCTGGTGAGGATCCACACGATGATTGGGCGTAAGCATTTAGCCAACCACGGGCCGCTGTTCTTAGTCCCAGCACGCTGGTTGGCTATCGGACCAGGTGAGCATAAAACCCCGCTAGACCAATCACAGACCACCACTTGGGTATACGAGTATAAGGCAGCACTATCAATCAACTAATCACTGTGAAGACCGCCCTCTCCCTTGTGCCATTGTTGGCCATCTTCCCGGACCGGACCATCCACGACTGACATCGTCGACAACAATTCACGAGCGTTTTCGGTTTATCGAGCATTAGCTTGCCCTCCCCACTGGTGGTGTGAGTGACCCACACTCCAGCTGGAGAGCAGCTATAGCGCGATATCCCCGACGTGGTTTGAGCTCTTTTCCTTCTACTACTATTTTTCCTTTTTTCGCTCTGGCCTAGGGACCTGCACCCTCAAAAGTGTATTCGTCCTGCGGTCCCCCACTGTAACTGTTCACCTCCCTCCCAGGAGATTGTGAACACGAAAGGGGGTTGGAACAAAACCCATCCCAGCCGAGTCTTTCCAGGAAAACCGTGATCGTGCGGTTCCACCTGGAAAGAGGGTAGCAATCCTTATCCTTCCCCAATAGGCACACTTAGCTCACGTCTATAAGTGAGCAGTCACATACACTAGGAAGTAGGCTTCCCCAACGGGGCTCAGGGAGAGAAGCTCAGGAACCACTCTACGACCACCAGCCAGTGGAGGGTGCTGAAATTCCTCTGCTACTTACTCAACCGGAATAGGTAGGATTTAAAAAACAAACAAACAAACAAACAAACAAACAAACACCGGTTATGGAGCGCGTACGCCCTCCTAACCGCGACTCCCACCTGAACTGCCAACCTGACGACCCGAACTACGACAGGCTTCGCACAGAGAAAGCGGACCAGTTACGCGCCTTCAATGAAGCCCTGAAAAGCAGGAACACTGCCACCACCTCCAACAACTCCACCACCACTACTACCGCCACTGAGGACGACAACTGGACGAAGGTAGAAAATAAAAAACGCCGACGTGCTTTTTCGGGAAACGAATGCCGTCAAGCAGCCCAAAAGGCACCCATCACTACCACCAGCTCACCTCCAACGACACTGCCAAAATTCCGGATCACAAAAACGATATATGCCGCCATCACAGAGATAGAAAAGCAAAATCCACTGGCCAAGTTCTCAGTGCGGCCCAACCTAAAGGGGGAGATGATTATTCACCCAAAAGACAAGGACTCTGCCACCACCCTCGACACTTACCTGCAAAACACCACCACCGTTGCATCAACCAAGCTGGACCCCGCCCAGAAACTGATGAAGTCGGTAGTCCTCCGGTACCCAAAGGAACTACCCCTCGAACCCCTGGAGAACCACCCGAAGATCTTAAAAGCCGAGAGATGCTCTCCCCTGTCCGACAAGACGGCTACCACAAAACAAGTGCTCATAACGCACTACGGTTCACCCCCCAGCACCATAGACCTCAAAACCTGGGGGATCTACGAAGTGAGGCCTTCGTCCCAGAGCCCCTGCGGTGCTTCAGATGCCAGAAATACGGGCACCATCAGACAAGGTGCACGTACAAGGAAATCTGCGCAGTCTGCGCACAGAAGCACGGCACACACTCCTGCCTCACCAAGCTGAAAAATGGAGAAAAAATTGCCCCCAAGTGTGCCAACTGCGGGGGCAAACACCACGCCTGGAACCCTGGATGCTCCGAGAGGACAAAGAGGGTCCAGGCAAACCGGCCAGCTGCAAGACCGGCCCCCACCGCCTGCACACCAGCCCCACCAAGTACCTTCGTGTGGGGAACCAAAAGGCCAAAACAACAAAGCCAACCTCCTCAGCCGGTCAACACCCAATGTGCAGCCCAGTTTCCTGGCCTCACTACGGCCACACCTCAGCCACTCAAGCAGCAGACAAATACAACCACGAAAAAGACAAAAGAAGCACACACCAAGGCACCAGAAGGAATGATACACGTATCAGACCTAGCCAAGGTACTGACAACCTTCGCGGAGGGCCTAGCCGGACTACTGGGCCACAAGATCCAACCCACACAGCTCCAAATACTCATTGGGAGCGTCCTCGGGCAAGTCGCCACAGCTCCAGCCACCTCAGTGGAGGAAGCCACGCCGGTCCTCACACGAGTGACAGCCGAGGTACACTCTACACCGAAGAAGGCCACCAGAGAACCCAAGATACCGACAGCTCCCAGAAAGAAATTTGACGTTTCAACTCCCCTGAACCGAACCACGGCCCAGAAGGCAAAAACCACAGAACAAGAAGACATGGATCTGATCCAGTTGAAATCGGACTTGGACACTTCCATCGAGGACCACCAGAAGTCCCCGATGAAACAGTGGTGGAAAACATCAGCACCCTGAACATCCTAACATGGAATGCTCAGGGCATCAAAAACAAAAAACACCTCCTACAAGAAGCAGCCACCAAGGACAAGCTGGACATCATACTCCTACAAGAGGATGTATGATCTTGGTCAAGTCAAGCATACCCTCCTCCGAGGTCACGCAGCAATTTCCATGTGGGGAAAACATTGAGACACAGGCCGTCAAAGTAACCCTCCAAGAACGGGAATTAACTGTTCACAACATCTACAAGAACCCAAGGGGCTCACTGCAGGTGACTCAATTATTCGCTTCGGCCGCTGACCACGCCACACTCAGAGGAGGGGATTTCAACGCACATCATCCCTTCCTAAGCTCGGTAAGCCCCACAAATGAAGACGGCCTACACCTATACACCACCTTTCAAGATACACCCGAGATCTGCCTCCTGAACACCGGAGAGCCCACCCACACTAGGGGAGGAAGGCTAGATCTAACCTTCGTCTCCAGTGCACTACAGCCTTCGGCCTCCTGGCAGCTACACCCCACGCTGACCAGCGACCACTTCGCCACCCTAACAACGCTGAAGGTGAACAAACTCCCCACTCCACCCCCCCGAGATGGAGATACAATACCCAAAAGGCAGACTGGGGACTC